GCCGTCTCGTTTCCATTTTCGTTCCCCTCGTAACCGCCGCTGCGAGCAGGACTCTGCGCCGCTGCTCCTCCTACTCGGCGTCTCCGCGATGTATTCGCAGAGGTGATCGGTTCGCTCGCCGATCCCTGCCTCTTCGCGCGGACTATCCTGCCTCGCGGCCTGCGAGCACCGTCCGTTGCACGAGAGGTGGCACTCTGGTGTTATTGGTCAGTTTGCATCTCTTCCCATCGCACTTTCGATACTGACTTGCTATTTATCGACACGATTACACGCCGCCGATCGAAGCTACGGTGAGCATTGGATAATTGCAACGCGCAAGAGGAACGGAATGTTGTGCTTAAGTAGAGATAGAGTCGAATCGACCGTAAGAAACGAAGATTTCAGCGGTAGAAAAGAACGCGAGCGAATAGAAGGGACTCGCGATGAACTTGAGATCTGTTATTCAAAAATCGAACCTTGTTATCTTTAGCTTCTGACGAATGAAACGTCGATCATCGTGTCTGCCATGTTTTCCCGATCAAAACGACACCAAACACGATAGAGTTACGATCGTAATTACTCGTATAATAAGCGATTGAGGTTTCGGATGTAGAAGAGGCTGCGAATAAAAGAGAAAGGGACGTTGAAATCGTCGACTTCGACAATAGACGGATCATGTTACACCATTCAACCGTGGCCGGTCGTCGAGCGGTATAGTGTGTTAAAAGGAACCTGGCGGGGATACGGTGGGAACGGTGTTGTTGTAATTACGAATGGATCCTCGATGTTCCAATTATCCGATGTCCACTGTATCAACAAACCGCGTAACGATCAACCTTTCTGGCCGTCGTATCGTCCCAAGTGCCAACTCCGGTACAACGGACGGTACTTAATTACACGGTTCGACGCGTGATAGTCTTTATCGGGCCGGATTAACGAGGATGTCCGCGTGTCTCCGTTTATCGCGCGCAGAACGCGTGCCGGCCAACGAGAACCGCGAACGCGGCCTGAAACGTGTCGCTCGGAATCCAGGAAACCCCGGGAATCGCGGCGACGCAGGCGATTCGTGTTGGTTCGACGGTCGCGATAACGCTGCAGCGGGATCGACCGACCTGCGGAAGAAAGGTTTCTCCGTCGCGGTTCTCCCGACGAACGCTGTCGTGACTTACGAGCGAACGACTCGTGACTTAACGTTTCAATCTCGCAAACTGTTAGACGTCTGACGACCGAACGCCCGTCGGTTTCATTTTGTTGCCTACATCCGTTTTATCGTGCGTTCAGATTTTACGGAGGGATCCATTGGAATACAAGGGGAATTCGAACGGAAAAGAATAAGACCACTTTTTCGCTTTCACTTGTCGATCGGGAGATATCTATACCATGTATCTATACCTTCAACTGTTTTTAGTGGTACGCTGAGAATATCCTTTGTTTCCGTTAGGTATCGGCGATATTTATAACGCGATAATTCCCTCAAGAAATGTGGTCCGTCTCTGCTGGACTTGTCCTGTCGCGTCAGAATTTCCTCGTGGATTTTCCTGGAATGTGCGAGGTCCGCGTGCAACGAAACACGCTTCGGTCTTTGATGATTCTGACAGGGAAAGATTAACGGTCGAGCCTGCGACCGCGGCCGCGACCGCGAAACCACGACCGCGACCACGACAGCGACGAAACTTGCATCGGTTGGCTCGCGAGGCTCCCACCAAATGCGAACGGTTTCGAAATTAAGGACGTCTGCGTCGAAATTCGAATCGTCGTTGAAATAACTCCCGTTTGGAATTACGCGACGCGGGAAGGAAGCGTAAAGGGTTTCTCGTTGCAACGGATGTATTAATAAATCCATCGGCTATGAATAGGAAAAAAACATTGAACGATGGAGTGCAAACGGTAGATCGAAAGTGGAAGGAAAACACAATAGCTGACGACCGGAAGAGAAGGGAATCGGAGGGGAAAGTGGAAATGCATAAGCGTCTCGGTTTTGATTGACGTGTAGAGGTCTTCGAGTAATCGATTTGTCAACGGTTCGTTGATGACGCGGACTAGACCGCGGTATCGAATGCTTCTACGAAATCCTGCGTGTATAAATAAAGCCGAGCGATTGGAGACAACCGGTGTAACGTTGCTTTTCACCAACTTGATCGTTATCGGTTGGCTCGGTTAACATCGAACGTTACTGTCTCTGCGCCGATGAAAGATTACTGCGAATCTGCGAGCAATCGTTGGCTTCTGATCATTCTAATCACAGTTCAGCGACGAAATTCACTGTCCAGTGAGACTGCTTACAATGGATGCGTGTTCGGGCGAACTGGCGTTCCGACGAATGAACATTTGGAGATCGCGCACACGCTGCTAACGGTTTATCAGTCCATTAATCGGATTTTCAATCGCGAATGCTTCGCCAACCATTCGTTAAGATCACGCTGCTTTAACCCTTTGAGGAGGATTTTGAAAATATTCGAAATCTTCGAAGGAAGCTGGAAAATATATGTCAAGATTCCTAAATGCTAGAGAAAAAGAGAAGTATGTGACTCAGATTTTCTCATTTGAATAATTAAACTATTCGTTTGCAACTTCGTGTGCCGGACAAGGAAGTTTGTCCAACGCGTCGACTGCCACGGCAGTCATCGATGGTCGGAGCTTCTAAATTACAAGGAAATAATTATAACTTCTAAGATAATTGGTGCTGAATAAAGATGTTCAGTGGTGTAAATAACTAGATGATAGTGTAACGTAAGAATTACGGTACCAACTAATTAATGGTTCCTCCTTTTTATCCTTGCTAACGTGTTAAATGGCTACGTGTTCGTCCTCAGAGGGTTGAAATAAAAGAAGTTATAATTAAGTTACACGTTAGCCAAACACTTTAATACCGCATCAGGTTTTCGGATCGAATCAGAGTGACACCATAATACGCTATCGTCGAACCTTCCAATTTGCATAGTCTACGCGTTACGCGTCGTCTCGATACCCGGGCCCCGGATACCGCGAGGCGTTATCGACGCATTATCACGACAAATACACCTACCGCGTATCGACACGTCGGGACTGTTATTATCGAAATTGTTGGGGATTGAGCGACAATTCTAGACATTCCTCGCGTACTCTCTCATCTTTCCCCGTTTTGCACGGTTGACGCGTTGACCGCCACGAGAATATCCAGCGTTTCGTGTTGCTTATCCTTTCGTAACAAAGGCAAGTGACACTGGAATTAATTATCAACGATTCAGTATCCTAGTCCTTTAGTTACACTACTATGTAATCATGTATGTTACTAAATGTTTCGATTTAGGATCAGTTTTCTTATTGTGATTCTTTTCATCGATGAGTTGCTTGAAAGGAATGATGAGAAACAGATCGACGTCGGATGAAGGTAACGCAAGTGACTAGATGATAGCGCAACTTAAGAACTCTGATACCAAATAAGCGGACGCAGCTATCCGATAACTAAATAAATGAATTCAACTATCGATGGAAAATATCAGAATACCCGCAACTGGTTTAAAACCAGTATCGCCTTTACTCGCTAATCTTTTATACCCAGTGACGAATAAGTTCGCGAACTTGGATTTATCGAGTGTCCAAGCTCTCGAAGGCACTCACCCCGTTATCGTGCATCTCGCGATCGATTAAACGATCGCCCGGATAACCGTAGATAGCAGATACATCAACGGGTCGAACGATCGGTCGATTCGAAGCCGCTCGGAACGGAAACGTGGCATCGATTGCGACAGTTCCCCGCGTTCGGGGCGATCGGAGTGTGTACGCGTATTATAAATATTGATAGAAACGATAGCAATAAACGATACACGCGACGGTAAATATTATCGTTCCTGTCGGTAAACAATGACGTTATTAACGATAATTGGTCGCGGGCAAACGTGCGTGCACGCGTGCACGGTTTTCTATATGTCGACGGGAATGGAATGCGCTACGATCATCGAACTGATGAATTTCGCGTGTGCCTTGGTGCGTAGTACGAGACGCGAAAGTACGGGATGGGGATCGGAAGATCGGTTCAAAGATCGACTGCGAAAGAAACGGGTTTTTATTCCGTTTTTCACGATCGTTGGGTTGTTCGAGAAAATCTATTGAAATTAGAATCGCGCGACAGCTACATTAATCAACTGCAATGAAACACGAACTCATAATAATTTGCTTTTCCTTCGATGTATCGTACCATCCTAGATCGCGATGGTGTATAGGTCTTTAAGTGTGCGAGGGAGTAGAAGAAAGATGGAACTCGAGTTAATCATTATTAGGAATTTCGACGATAAACTATTATAATGTATAGGATTGATTTGAACCGTATTTTATAGTAAGATCGATGATGATCCGTTGGATGTTAACAAGTCGAAGCTCCGGGGCGCGATCGCATTTGCTTCGAGCGCGTTTTACGGGAAAGCTAGTAAGGAAAGAAGGGAAGGACGGACGAGGAGGATGTCGCGTCGAATAATACAATAATTTACTGTATCCCGTGCGGCCGACTGTCTGGGACGGCAATGTCGACGGCGACGCCGATGCCGACGCCGACACGACTGGAGCATTGCCAAATGCCACCGGTAAAATTAATCGTTCCCTAACACGGATTCCCCTCTAAGTGGGAATGCCACTTTGTAGTCGATGAACGGCTGTTCGATGAGATTTTTGGAGCCGGGATCGGCGAGAAAGTTAACGGGCCGGACGGATACCGACGTGTATCCTGATCCGCGCCGACGAAACTTTCACGCGTATCGATGATATACCGACGACGATTCCGTTTTCCAATCGCGACCGCGCGTCACACCCTCGTTCGCTGATCTTCGTTCCGTACGACTCGCATGCACACAGTGTTCGTCCTCGTTGAACGGAAGATTGTTCGCGGCGAACGGGTTCGGTGACGAGATGATTAACCGTCCGGCGGTTGGAGCCAAATTATTTTAAACGAGCCAAAGAAACGAAGCGAAACGAAACGAAACGATGCGTCGCGTCGCGACGCGATCGTATCGAAACGCGCTTCAAGGGATTCAATGTTTTGGTTACAGATCGACGCAACGACAAAGGGCAGCAGCAGCAGCACGGTCGTCGTTTTAGCGTTGGGATATCGGAAGGGGGAGTCGAGCTCCGTACCGACGGTTGGCGAACGGACGAAGGGAAGACACCTGAAAAGCGTCTGAGGAAGCGGTGGGAAGAGCACCGTTTGGGTGGGCAAGGCGAGTATCATCGCGGTGACGACCCGCTCGCATGCGACTACGCGAGACTCGGTGACGAGAAAAGACGAGGAACGACAAGAACCGCGGTAGCGGTCGACGGTGTTGCGAAAAGTGTTGTCGAAGGGCCGGCGTAAAAAGACGGAGAGACGGGGGAATCGGAGTCGGAGGAGGAGGAAGAGGAAAAGAAGTTCGTGGCGTACGAGAGAAGACGATCGAATACCACCTTGAACACGATAGCGAGGGGTGTACCGGAAGCGAGTGGGCGAAGTTCAGAGAGGGAAGCTGTGAAAACGGCGAGGAGAACGGAAAAACGGGGACACGAACACGGGGATAGAGATAGACGTTAGGAATAAGAATCGGATCCGGAAGCGGAACCGACGGAAGGGCCGGATTGTCCGAACATTAGGGAATATCGGTGGAGGGCAGCTGCGAGACAGTAAAGTGATGTGTTCGATGGACGAGGCGCGTCTGGCGGGCGGAGGTCGGGGTAAAACAGACGCGTGTCGCGCGCGCTGCGATTGCTTCGAATCATCGGTGAGAACAGGCGGGCAGTCGGTGATCAGGCTGGCGGGCGCCGGGGAAACGTTTCAAAGGGCATGGCGACCACGCCACTAGGCGGTCGCCTCCCTAACGTAAACCGCAAAGGACCATCTCCGTTCGTCGGCGGTGGTGGTGGTAACAACGCTAATTACGGCAACGGTAACGGTATAGGTATCGGTAACAACAATAATAACAACAACGAAACTGGTGGCAACAACGGCCATCACAACAACAACAACAACAATAATAACCACAGTAATAAGAACAACAATCATAGCAGCAGTGGTAGCAGTAGCGGAAACGGTAACAACAACAACAACAACAACAACAACGTTGGACACCGTAACAACAACATCGGCGAGAGCAACGGTAACAACAGCAGCAGCAGCGGAGGCAGCAGCAATAATAACAACAACAACAACATCAAAAACCGCGTCGACGGTCACGGAAAAGTTTGTGTGATCGAGGGCGCCAACGACAACGACACCGATCTCGTTGCCAGCGGTGGCAACGGTAGAAACGGTAGCAGCGGTA